AGCTTACCTTTATATAAGTGTAACAATTCTTTTCTGAATTTTGCTTACTTTTATGAGTTTTTGCGTCTTGTGCGAATGCAAAACGCATATTGTCAAGAGGTTTTTTATGTGTGTATGTGTACGTCTGCATCTGTGTATGTGTGCGTGTTAGTACTTTTGGTCACCCAATTTGAGCTCGAGAATCTGAAAAGCTCGTAAGCTGTAACATTTGGAATATGTGCCCATCTCGTTTGTGAGCCTATCACTTTAATATTTTCATTTATGCACACCTGGATTTCGCATACGGTTGTCTAAAAGAAAACATAAATTTTTTGGCCGAAAAGCGATCGCAGGAAGCAGACAAGTCAGGAGGCTGAATTTCACAAGCTTGTTCTAGTCCTTGCGTAAGCTAAGAATTTCATTTGCTGTTCTTGGGCGGGTCGCATAAAATAAGCCTGCCCTGCGTACAGGGACAAATGTTTAAACTGCAAACAAAGCAGTCACCCCGGTAGTACAGGCGATCTCTCCGTAAGATAAATCATGCAAAAAAGAAATATGGTAGCACCGACCAGTTTGAATCCTGCTTCATTTTCTTTTGAATCATTGCCAGCAGCTCAAATTCACTTTAAAAGACCGAGATGTGGACGAATAAAAGCTTGTCCAGTTTTCAGTCCGGCGTTCGTACTTTTCAGGCAACTCACCGTCGACATCAATTGGTATGGATAATATCTACGAATTTGGAGCTAAGTTGTTATTTTCGGCGGTCGAATGGGCCAAAAATTTGGCCATTTTCAATGAACTGACCGATACTGACCAGGTGCCTATTATACACTGCTGTAAAATGTTATTTGTGTTTGAATGACCTGAGAGTTCCTTTTCGGTAGCATGGGTCATTTGTGACCAATTAAGCCGTCTATTAAAGGTCCTAAAAGCATCTACTAGAACGATTTTATCTTATCTTCATGCCCTAAACTTACTTGAAGCGATATCGCCATTCCTTTCATCATTTCTTTCTGACTTCTATTTTTTGCAACATTTTTGTTAACTTAAACCGCATCACAGATGCCTGATGGAGAAAATCTTCGTAGTCTTTGTGCAAAAATTTGCGTTGTCGGCCTACTGAATAAAAATACCATCACATTCAAAAGTTCTTCAAAATAACAACTATGTTTCCGTTTGTCTAAATATTACTCAAATGTAGCAGTTTTGTTTGGTCGGTTAAGCTGGATTTGATTTTACAGCTAACGCTACTTCGCGCAAGTTGGGCAGAACTGTTCGTAGTAAATGCGGCTCAGTTCGGAATGCCGGCACATGTGGCGCCGCTACTCGCCGCTTCTGGACTGCACTCCACAACACCACTTCCATCCGAACAACTCGTCGTGTTCATGGATCGGATACGTATCTTTCAGGTAGTTCAGGATGAATTTAATTCGTTTTCTAAATATGTATAATTTGATATCCCGGAGCTTCCGTTCAACTAGATTACTGTTGTTTAAATT